CAACTTCAGCTCCTAATGAATTTCTCCAGATGTTTTTTTTATTTATTTTCTCTCTCTCTCTCTCTCTCTCTTTCTCTCTCTCTCTCTCTCTCTGCGTTAACATCGGGCCCTTGTGGAGTCTCTGCTGCTGCCGCTGCTCTCCAGTGAGTCCACTTTCATCCCCAGTCCTCCAGCTTCTGCCTCTCTCCTCCGCTCTGCGCGCTTCCTCTACTCGCTCCCGCACTGACGTCATGCCAGGAGCAGGGCGGCGTGTTGACCAATCAGAGAGCGCGCCGGCCCCCAGAGCTGGTCCGAGCTCAGACAGACGTCTCACTCCTCACAGCTTTATTTAGCTTTTTCTCCCCCTTTTTATTCATTTCCTCACTACTGCTGATATGAACATGACCAAACAATGTAACACGATCCATTTAGGAACTTTTCTGAGGCTTTCACTTTGAGGATCTTTCGTCCATATTAGCTTGTAAAACTTTAAGTTAATTTAACTCAAAACTAATTGTTGAAACTAATTACATTGAGGCTTTTAAGTAAAACTAACTCAATTTTGTATGTTAAACAAACATTCTTGACACTGACTTAATTTTGTAATTTGTATTTGGGCTGTGAACATAAACCTAGTACTTATTGATGTTTTTTAACTTTAGTTTGTTACTTAAACTTTTCTTTTCAAGTAAAATAATTAAAATGACAGTACAGTTCTCTATCTACAGTAAGAGTAGAGACTGAATGTCCATCCTTGACCTGTGAAACAGCAGAAGAGACACTGTTACCTCCAGGTCCATCGCTGTTTTGGGGCTTTGATAATGATCTTTTTTAGTGGATGGAGTAGCCTAATATTTCCTAATTTCATATATATTAATATATATTTGGCATTTGTTTATTTGAAATAGACTAGAACACTAGTCAGACCAGATGCAATCTACTATTCCCAGTTGAAAACAAACAGATTTCATCAGAATTTCAAAGGTCTTCAGAGATTGTCAGTCCCATACTGAGAATCTCTACTTTATATGCCTCAGTAGCTCTTCCATGTTAGTTAATGTGTTCCTTTTACATTTCCTTGGAAAATCCTTCCCACATAAGCACAGGAAGAGTCCTAATGTTGCTCTAGCTAAAACTCTACAACTATATCAATTATTTAACAGCAATAAAGAAAATGTGGTTTAAGCCAGGAGAAAGTAATTCTGGTGACTATATAGGCAGCCAAATTCTGCTCTGTACAGGTTCAAATAACTTTTCCATCTCATCTCTGAAAGTAACTATCTCCCTGACTTATTATACCAGTCTATTGTAAGTTAAAATAAGTGAGCATAAGGAAATTATATAACATAAAATAACTCTACGGTGTTCACAGGGTTTCATAGGCTGGAAGCAGGAGTGAGCACTCTTCACAAATAAAACATCTTTGAGGTCTGAAGCGTTTATATGTGGCTTGAGAGCTCAGGGGCCAAAAGTATAGTATGAACAGTTCCCTCCAAATCGGGAAGAAGAAAATGTTTTATAAGAGCTTTTAATGTGGTAAACTACAGTGGAAACACATAAAAATACACGAAACACATTCTCTTTACGTCTTTCCACGTTTACAAGAAATAATGTAAGACAGATATAATGAGCAGCCTATAGTTCAGTCTGATCATTGTCTCTGAATATTCATTTAAAATGGGCAAACAGAGCTTTCACTGATCACTTATAAAGTGTATTCTTTTTTTTAAACATTCCTGTTTAGAGATAGGCTGTAAATACTACCTTAAACAAAATATCAAATTTTCTTAACTCAACCTGGCCGGTGTAAAATAGACTATTTCAACCCCAGATTGTGTTTGGAATCACAAATTAATTTGAGGTTGATTGTAAAAATTAACATCAGTTTGTCCTGTAATACATTTTATACACCAGATGAAAAAGTTTTAATATAGATTTTAAATAATGTTTAAATCATTTTTTGTAGTTTTCAAGACAAGTGCACACACACAACATTACAGGCCTACCACAGATTACAAAATGTCTACATTTTTATCACACTTTAATGATCATTTGTTTGTTCACATATACATAATGCTTAACGCTGTATCTGAGGTGCCATCAACATTTTCTGTTTAAACTTTTAGAGGTCTAGCAGAACAATTTCAATCAAATACTGCAGACATGATGTACTATTAAACATCCTAATGCTATTTAGAGTTAACAGAGGGTCTCTAACAGAGGTCTGTATGTCAGATTTAGCCCTCTGTTTTCTATCATAGATTATGACGCCCTTTTACAAACAGGTTTGCCACAAAAATTTACTGAAAGCAAGATTAGAAAATGTAGGAGTGCAATCTAGAAATCTGTCCATATGTGAGCTGTTTCAAAATGTGTTTTACTTCTTTTAATTCAATAATTGACTGACGACGAAAAGGTGTAAAATGCACTTATCTTTTATTGACATAATAGCCAGACTGATCAATGGGCAACATGTCAAGTCAACAGTCAGCAGCAAAGGCATGCACAGGGCACACAGCCATTCAAGTAGATGCAGTTTGTGGAAACTTTGGTGTTGAGGCGGCTCTCATCTATCGCCCTCCTTCTCTCTCTCGCTCACACACACACAAAGGCACAGACACATAAACACACACAAGCACAGCAGAGTGGCTTTACAGCTACAGGAGGTAATCTTCATAGTATCCCAAAGATGATGTCCGGCTGTAAGGGAGGAGAAATTATTAGTGAGCTTACGTTCAATTTGAACACAAAACTGACATGTTAAATGCTGCAGTCTGTCACTCACACGCTGCAGGAGGTGCTGTCCCGTTAAAGAGTGGGTGTCTGGACTCAGGCCATCCCCTCCCACTGTCTTGCAACGTAGGTAACCATAGAGATTAGCCACTTGGAGGGAAATACTAGCTACCACAAGTGACTGGGGAAGACAAACATGCATTTAAGTATGATATGTATCTCTACCGCATGTGCAGAGGATGTTGTGGTACATGTGTCTCACCAGCCATTTAATCTTCAGGGAGAAGAGTGAGGTGAAGAAGAAGAACATCCATATGAGAGGACAGATGATGAGACCCAGCCAAAATATCCTCGCCTCAGCCTCCGTCCCAATGTTATTGCCCCGGGAACTCTGCACACAGACACACACACATTGTTATATATCACAAAAATGCTCTTCCACACTCCAAGTGGCACAAAATGATCACAGCGTCTTACTTTTTTGGCCTCAAACAACCAGAGGCTCTTTCCATCCTCGTCGATCTGATTCCACCAGCGCAGCCCCACCAACAGCCGGCCAGTCACATTCTGAAACAAATCAAAATACAGTGAGGTGAAAGAAAAGGAATTCAATTTCCTGAAGTCCACAAGAGGCCAGTAAAGGGTTGAAGCATAGGAAAGGCTGAGCTAGTTGACCTCTCACCTTGACGGACCAGAAGTCAAAAGAGAGCAGGGTGATGATCAGCACGAAACATGATGCAAAGTTCTCGCTGATCCAGTCACAGAGCAAATAGGTGACAATGGCCCCCACCCGGAAGAACAGGTGGAAAAAGGAGGCGAGGGGGTGTCTGATAACAAATGCACAGCATTAGAAATGATGAAGAGCCGGAAAAAAAATTATGCACATTTAGTTCATTTTAGTTTTTAACTTTGTTGTACACATTTCTGCACAAAGACTTGCTCTTGTGATGTATGTAAACTATAAAAATGCAGCCAATAGGAGAGAACATGGCCCAACTAAGTTGCTGAGATTTGCTTAAGAGGTTTCATGTTAATTCAATTACAAATTATTACCTAACAAGTTTAAAATGGGCCGATATCCCTATTGATTTTGTATTATTAAAACCACAAGACTCGGTGCAAGACAAATGAGTTGTGATAATAAAGAAATGTGATAACAAGCATCCCATGCAGTGCGCACCTTATGACTGCGCTTCTCCGCGCCCTCTCCTGCTCGTCAGCAGCAAAGTCCAGCTCAACATCCTCCGTGTCATCCGCCATCGTCTGACAAGAAGCAAAAGACAAAACACAGCGGGATATACATCACGCGAGATCATCCTCGTTTATGCAACGCAGACTAACACTCAGAGGCAGACAGAAAATACACACTGGTTTCATGCTCGTAGATGTGTAAAGCAAAGAGAGATACCATTTGGGGGAAGGCGCTGTATAGGGCTGGAATAAACCAGGTGTTGCAGTGAAATATGACCGACACGGACACTGCCTCCTCAGTCAATACATCACATCCACATCAGGAAGCTGAGGTTTTAAATTATTTTGAGGTAGATGCTTCTCCTAATTTACCGCGACGATAAAATCACCATGGCTCTATAGCAGTCTCCCTTCGCGAGCCACACATCGATAAAGGATGTTGTGCTGATGAACCAATGCGGTGGACGTCAACATCGCGAGAAAACAAAAACAAAACAACGACCGCGGCAGGACTCGAACCTGCAATCTTCTGATCCGAAGTCAGAC